ACCGCAGTGAGCCGTCATTAGCTTGTCCTCACGACTAACCACAAATACTAGTGCCTACGCGCAGCGCCGCTGGCTCTTCTTGCTCCCTGCTCACAGCACGACCGCGCCTGCCGTGATGTTCGTTACCGTCTCAGCCTAAATGGAATTTGTCCAGTGTGAAAAAAAGACCTTTTGGATTTACCGTGCATTGCAAAATTTTTCAGGTGGTTTATGTAATGGAGAGTTCGTGAGTCTCTGAATGCAACGCGTGGGTACCGCTGGTGTAAGGGTGAGCCTCTACCCCCCTATGATACCGTTCAAGTGATAGCTCCGAGGGGAACATCTGACATGCTGTGGTCATCCTGGGACTCAGCTGGTGGCACACAAGAGCTGGGACCCATTCAGGCTTTTCCCAGCTTATCCATTGGCAGAGACTTTTTCCCAACATGATCTCCCACTGTTGTGCAACATGGGAGATTTTTGATATTTGCCATTTGTAGACTTCGGTAGATATGCGGATACCAGTAGGATGGTTGTGTGAGCGGATGGCAGTGAGGAATACCTGAGCTTGCTTTTCTCAGTGAGCTTTTATGGGTCCTTTAGAAGTAGTCCATGATCTGACAGGAAATTACAGAGCAGAGCTTAAAAACCACCTTATTACAACCAAAAATTCCTAACCATATAGGGCAAAGCACACAGCCTTGTCCTTGCAATCCACGTTACAGGCAAAGGAAAGTCTCTCTTCTGTTGCATGGTGATGCAGCCCAGCGGCAAGAGGGTTCCTCCAGAGCAGTCGCACGGCCACCAAAGAGCTGTGTGAGAAAGCAAGTGCAGGGAACAGCTCCGCACGCCCCCGCTAAAGACAACGGAGCGTGGCTTCGTGCTTCAGTGCAGTGAAGAAGAGGAGCCCTGGGGGAGTCTTTCCTATTGCACTGGGTTTAAAACATTATGTAGAGGCTAGGCAGGAGCAGCCACAGCACAGCAAGCTGAGAAGAGGCTTCTGGCAGCCGGTGATGCTGGGGACATCTCCACACCTGGCCGGCTGGTGGAGACAACCTGGGGGGAGGCTTTGACCCCGCGTTGGGCTGTGGACGGCCAGTGTGGGTGGCAGGATGGGTAGCAGCGTAGCAGGATGGTTTCTGCAGGGTCCGTGGTACGGCTGCTGGCACTGGTGACGAGGCTTTTGTTCTCTGTGGGGCTGAGGAGGCCTGGTGCAGGTGGGAAGGCGGGTGCAAGGCTATATGCACATGCTGCATACCGGAACACCGGGAGCTGTGAACATGGGGGGTGAAAGGACTGCGAAGGGCCGGTGTGGCCCTCACGTCCTAGCGGTGCTGAGAATGGCTGATTTGTGTGGACAGGTGGGAGTGAGAGTGAAGAGACCTTTGCTTTGCAGTGACAGCACCAGAGAAAGCCACAAGATGGACATATGCTCTTAGACAGTTTTGCTAAGGCTTGGAGCACCCTCTTCCCAGCCCTGGCCTCCACACAGCTCTGTCAACCAGCCTCCGTCCTGGCTTGAGTCCTTCTCTGCTGTTCCCTTGCTGGGACCTCTTCCTCCTTCCCGCGCCAGCCTTTCCAACCCCCATCCCAAACCCATCGCACTTCCCCTTACTCGCAGCGCTGCCATCCCGTGCCACGGCATTCTGCACGTGCATTTTAAGTGCAACCGGCTATTCTCCTGGAGGTGACAACCCCTGCCAGCCATGTGACATGCTAGGTGACAGGCAGACACTGCCAAACTCAGGACATCTTGTGATTTTCTCCCCTCCTCCCTTCTGCCCAGCCAGCCCTGATGCTTTCCACCTGGCTCAGGGACATCCAGAAAGGAGCTGACACTGGCTAGACACGAGCATGTAGTCTTCAGTAAAGCTGTGCCGCTTTCTGCTCCTGGGTCTTTACCTTCCCTCCCCGTCCCCTCCAGGGGAAGGTAAAACAACAGCTTCTCAACAGGACACAAAAGCACATTGATGAGGAGGTGTGAGAGCTTGGGAGAGGGAGAGGGAGGAAACAGCCTGGAGAAGAGGAAGATTCAAATACTCTGAGAAATGGAGAGACAGAAAGGGTCAAGAGCAGAGAAAGTGAGATAGAGAAAGAAAGGAAGGAAGAAAGCTATGGAGGGCTAAAAGGGAATGAGGACGAAAGCACAGGAGAGGAGGACATGGAAGCTGGGAGGGCAGTAGGAGGGCAGAGGAGAAGCACAAGCTGAGACTGCTGGAGTAGCAAACGCAGCCATTTCAGTGAGGAGGAGGTATCTCTTCTGTTCCCACCATCAGTGGAGACCCAGGGAGACACCCTGGCCCAGAGCTTCTGAATCCACGGCTCTTTGCACTCCTCCGAGATCCTGAAGGCCCTGTGCTGAGTGGGGCTGCCCCTGGGGGAGTTCCCCGCAGGGACCCGCCGTGGCATTGTCTTCCCTGCACTCCCACAGCAGAGGGGCCGTGTTGTGGGGGAAAGGTTTGGCCGGGACCTGCTCAGTGCTGGTGGAGAGAGACCGCTGCAATGGGGGATGAGGTGGGGTGACCTCAGGACAGCTTGGTCTGATCTGCACAGGATCAAAAGCCTGTGACACAAGCATGGCTCTTGATCTTAGTGCTGGGCAGGGTGAATGCACCCTCTGCAGCAGGAACACATTCTTTTCCTCTGGGTTTTGCTTCATTTGGAAAATATTGCTGTTTTCCCCAAGTACTTTGATGCTTCTCAAATAGATGCTACAGCCCAAGAACTAATTCTGTCTCCTCCCACCGGTCACTTCCCCTGAACCGCAAAACATGTCAGTCTGTTGCTTTTCCCATCTATCCACTTCCAAGCTGCCATTTCTCCCCTTGGGAAGCCACAGCAAAAAATGGGGATAAAATGCTGGGCCACCATGCCCTCAGACCAACCAGCTGCCTTCCCACCCACCGAGGACGCAAGAGAAATCTCTGCTGCCATCACTTGAAGACACTGCATGCACCGACTCCACCATCTCTCCTGCAGTCTCTCCTTGCCATGTCTCCAAGTGATAAAAACAGGACCACAGCACGCCCCACACCTCCCGTCTCCGAAGCCCTCCTGCCCCCAGAAATCCTTCCCCCCCAATCCCTATTTCTCCCAGGCAAGACACTCAGCTGAGACACAGAAACGAGAGAAAGGAAGATGACGGACAGTCCGCTGTGCAAAAAACAAACCGAGAATGAGGACACTCTGGGAAGGACGGGGGAGATGCCTTTGGTCCCTCTCCGGCACATAGGTAGGCACACGCATGCACTCATGCTCGCGTCCTCTCACGCACATGGGCAGGTCCACTGCCACATGCTTCAGAGACAGGCCCGTGGCAGAGTCAAGGGTAGCAGGGGTGGGTTGTCGTATCCAGAGACACCGGGTGACAGCGGGGGTGGGTGGGGGTGGGGGTGTCATTCACAGGTTACTTTAGGGGTTTTCCTCTGTCCCGACAGTCATGGGGGGCAGCCCTCCGTTGTCATTCAGCCGCTTGGCCCTGTAGGTCTCATAGTGGATGTTGTGGGTCACTTCTTTTAGGTCCTGAAGGTGGGTCCTGCAGGGGACAAAGTGAAGATGGGGTTGGAAAGAGGATACGATAACCAATATCAGCACAGTCAGTATTAATCTTCTGATGATAATTTTATTCCCTGAGACAAATGGAAGATTTCTTCGGTCAGTCTGGCTAATGACCGTACCCCTCTTTCTGCATGGATGACATGGGTGCCATCATACACAACTGAGAGCTGGAGGATCAGCATTCAAGAACAGGTACACAGGATGCAGGATATGGGCTGAAATCCCTGGCTGTACTTGCCAGTGTCCTGTCCCTCTCACACCTGTGCCAGTGGGACGGCTACTGGCCGTCCTGGTGTGTCAGAGCAGACATGGGCTTAGCTCATCTGAAGCGGAGGTGAGACAAGGAAGCACCAGGAGGGTGTATCAGGTCCACTGCAGACCATAACCTGCAGAACATAAGCTTTGTGATGATCGCTTGGTTAGGATGTTTTTACTGGAAGACTTAGGGAAAGCATGTCTGCTGCAGAAGGTATCACAGAACAAAAAGAGGGCAATAGGGTGATGTCAAAGCATTGTACCTGGCCAAGTGTCTCAGTACCACCATACCCACAGCTGGAATGAGCCACAGGGCTCTGGCTTTGAAGTGTGTTTCCCTTATTTTATATTTGGTGTTGTTTTAAAACCTGATTGTATTTATAGGGAACAGAGGTGACCCTGGATCTGCAGCTCTTCTACAGAATTTGGGGCAGATATCACTTGGGCTGAGACAACTTCATGAAACAGAGTAGAAATAAGACAGGACAATGAAAGCTGAATGAAATATGGAGCTTTTCACTTCCAGGTCATATGTTCCAGCACATCCCTCAACCTGGTAGGACACATGGTCTAGGATGTCGTCGTGGCCTCTTTCTCACCGACTCCAGCCCAGACCTGTTGTCAGCAACAAGCAGAAGTTGTTGCAACCTAATATTCTTAATGGGATATAAGGGGGGTGGTAGTACCCTGCTTTTCTCCAGGCATCCAGCTCATACATGAAAACTAGCACCTACTTGCCACAGTGGTCATGTAACAAAGAGAGGCACGAGAGTATCTACCCCTTAACTCAATCCAACCCTACCCCACATAAGCTTTCACTGCCTGAAATGTACTTTATTTTCCTTTCCGTAGGGGCTATTTCAATCTAAGAGGGTCTCAGGAAGACTCCCTGCTCATCAAGAGCAAACTGGTGCATGACCATGGCCTTACCTGATGACAAAATCTCGAAGTAGGGCAAATTCACAGTGAGTGAGGTTTTCCACTGAAAAGAAAGCAAGCAATTGTTACGTTTGATTTTTTTCAACAACCCCTTTGTGGTTACAGAGCATGGGAAGGTCATTGCCATGGGGCAGGGTTCCAGGTGGGCAAAGCCTGCATACTTCAGAAAGGACAGACAGTTGTCTGAATGCCACACTGCCAGGCATTGAGGATACACGCTAAGAGGTGCTGAGCAGTCACATGTGAATTTTCATTTGAAAACCGAGGCAACCTCAGGAGCTCAGCCTCACACACAGTGGTGTTTGGAGTGGCTCCAGCTTCTGCCAGTTGGCGGTAGTGGTACCGCATTGACCATGGCAGTTCCCTCCCAGCAGAGCTATTTGAGAATTCTCCTCTTGCTTGGGTTCAAAAAGTTTATCGCAAAAGGGATGGGAAGGTAGCCATGGGACACATTATCTGGACCCTTGTTTATTACTGGGGCCTGAAGAGGTACTTTCAGCTCCCAGATTTTTTACCTTCAATGATTCCCCAAGGTGTTTTTCTGCCCAGGACTCTTTTGCCGTTCACTTGGTACTCCTTGTCGCTGCCCACTACTGCGAAGGGCATGCTTTCCTGCTGGGGAGAGACATGTGGAGAGACCTATTGAACCCATTCCAGAGAGCAGCACCATCACTGTTCTCCATCCACCTTTCCTCCTCTCAGCTCACTAAACACAAGGCCTTCTCCAAGGGAAGAGGTTCTCCAGAGCAACACTTCACTGGCTGTCCTCTTCACCCGTCAGTGCTATCCCTAGCACTTTGGGCCCTTGATTTACAGGTGTCCTTGCACTCCCCTAGCTTAGTGGGTAGCTTGCAGCAGTGCCAAGGGCTCTGGAGCAGGGGGCAGAGCTTTTCTGCACCCATCTCCAGCATTTCTGAAGAGGGGGATGACCAGAGAAGTACCTTGGCGTAACCAGGAGAAGGTCTGTCAGCCCAGGGCTGCTCATATGGATAGTTTGCGGTGAGTATTTCTCACCAAGTTTGTACTTCTTCACCAGAAGAAGGAGAGGACTCAAAATAATCCTCCCCAACAACACCCATGAACATTCAACAAGTTTAATGGCTGAAATGGTTGCACTGAGGAAGGTCGGAAATGGGGTAGGGGTGCAGCTTTCCTGGGAAGTGGGACAGTAGGTGAGGCTATTGGGGACCCAGATATCTCTAAGCACAGGGGGAAACCATCCGTTTCCAGAGCACAGGGTGCAGGAGACCCGGCTATCCATAAGTTTGTGCAGATGTTCATAGATTTACTCTGCTTTATAGATGTCCCTGGGCCTGGGAAGAGACTGCAATTACCACAGGAATGGACGTTAAAAAGCAGTTTATTTCTTATGTGTGAGACTACCCAAACCTAGGGCAATGATGCTGAAGTGCAGAACAAAATGTGGTGCCCTCCTCAAAACCAGTAACAGTTTGGAGAAGAAGCAAAACCCATCTAGTCTTCTCCAGCTTGTGTGATGTATTGCCAAATGGGAAATGATTAATTAAAATGGGGAAGGTGGGAACTTCTGTTGGGGCTGTGACAGTTGAGGGAGTTGAAAGGGCAAGTGTCAGGCTGCAATGCAAGACCCCTGGAGTTTCTTGAGGACTGCCACGGCGGCCAATCTATTTTCATTAATGGCCTAGCCACAAAAATGATGAGTGGTATAATTAAATGCACTAGCATCACAAGGCCAAGAGGTGTTGTCAGTACAAAGGCAGACTGGGTTATTATCGAGGAAGATGTAAGTTTGAGGCACAAAGAGCAGCATTTAGAGAATAACATCAAGAATTTCTGCTACGACTTCGGAGCTCATGAACAAGCAGCAACTGAAGGAGCAGAAAGACCTCACGTGCTAGTCAGTCACAAGATGACCATGAGCCACCAGTGTGATGCAATTGTTTAAAAAGCACATGTGGTCCACGGGCTTAGCAGTTCCAATCTCAGAAGAGACGGGGGAGCATGGGGTACCAGCACCAGTGCTAGAAAATCAAATCAAACCGGAGCAGGCACAGAAAAAAGTGACTAGGAGCATGGAGTACTGAGGAATGGGAAGCTCATCCAAAGGAGCTTGTCTTCTTTAGCTGACCAGAAGGTCAGCAAAGGATAATATTGTTATCTATAAATGCCTTGAGTGGTGGAGGGAACCACTAGGTAGGAGAACTGCTCAAGTCAGTGTTGGCACAAGAACACAGATATAATCCTGGGTACAACCTGGCCATGAACAAACACAGGCTGGAAATTAGGAGACAATTTCTAACGCTCTGAGGAGGGAAGGATGGGACAAGCCTTCTCACAGGGGCTGGGGGAGCGAAGAACTGGACTGCTTTCAGGTCGAGTTTGGTCAGCAGATGAGAGGGCTCATGGGGCAGTTGTTTGGGACAGAGGCTGGACATCAGCCACACACCAGGCCCCTTTGGTCCTTAACGGTGGCCAAACAGAGCATTCAGCAAGAGGAGGTGAAACATAGTCCTTCCTCACTCAGCCTTCATAGCACCCTAATGTAGTAATGACAGGGACAAATTAAGCTGGGAAGGAGGAATGACCATCCCTTACATCCATTGCATCTTTCATTCAGGGACCATGAAGCACTTAAAAACTTCTAGTGATCCATGTCTGTTTTACATGCGTTAAATATGACCAGCCCTCACCCCTCCTTCCCCTCCCACAATAAAATGTTTCCTACCCTGATTTTGTCGTTCTCTGTTTTATCCTCCAAGTCCTCATCGAACTCTTTCTGGGGGTAAAACTCGATCCCATTTACTTCTAGCTCTTTGCGCACCTGGGCAGGAAGACATTTTGGAGCACAAAGCAATACAAACCTGAAGGGAAGGCAGGTGGGACAGCCAGGCAAACACATCTGGGACATTCTTCCAGTGGGCAGGGACTGGAGGGATTGTCCCCAGGGAAGTGTGCGGCAAAGTGAGGACACACGGCAGCAATGATGAGTCTTTCTTCCCCAACCCCGGTTACTTGTCTGGCTCTGCAGTTCCCGTGACAGAGCATATCACGAGATGTCACAGGGATACAAACATTTCTTCCCCCTCTAACAGATGCTCTCAGAGCCATAAACAGCTGCATCTTCAGGACTTACCCACCAACCCAGCGTTGGACTCTGTGCATGCCCTGGGGACTGCGCTACAATCCCAGGAAGAAGGATACCTCCCATTTCTCCCACCTTCAAGCCGGGGCAGGGAAGGATCCCGTGCAGGAGAGGAGATACTCACTCTTTGTTTGAACTCGGTCTTCTCCTCCAAGGTCATGGTGTCAGCCTTGGCAATAACCGGGATGATGTTCACTACCTTGCTGAGATGTTTCATGAACTCCAGGTCCAAAGGCCGCAGGCTGCAGCCCAAGGGGGAACAACATGGAAGGGGTCACTTTACCCGCCTTGCCTTTCGTCCTAGTGACTCTCCCAGCATCAGGGCATCAGTGAAACCTCCCTTGTACGTACCCCACTTGCTGCCACCATGCTCTCATCTCCTTCTTCCCATCCATCCTGCCCTCTCCCCAAAAACAAAGTGGCGTTTCTCCTGCCCTTGTTATCCTAGACCCTTTCAAGCCCCACAGCACCCAAAGTTAAGCTAAACAGTGGCCAGCCTCGCAGGCAGGACCTGTGGGTCCATGGCTGAGATGGAGCAGTGCAGGGTATATATCTGCCACAGGCACCAAGGGCGTGAGGAAGGATGAGGGATGGTGTACGTACGAGTGGCCCGTGGGAGAGATGAAGTAGAGGCAGCAGTGCACTCGCGTGTCTGGAATTCGTTTCTTCCTTGCAATATTCACCTCCTCTTTCAAAAATTTTTCATATTGCTCGTTGATGTATTTCTCAATAGGCTCCCAGCTGTTAAGGTGGGGGAGAGAGATGAATAGACAGGTACAAATGTCCTCATGTGCCTGCCTACAATGTTCCCGGCTCTGACAGCAGCAAAGCAGGCTCAGGCATAAAAAATATCCACCAGAAGCATCTTGCCACCAGCAGAGATGTTTAAGAGTTTCTGTAACTGAGCACAGAAATAGGCACTTGCTATGTAATGTGTGCCTACCCCCAAGCATGCACACTGACCCACGGTGTTCACAATTCCACATCCCCATTACTGGCCCCCCTGAGTGCAATAGGATCCCAGACATTTTCCAGGCCAATTAGATGAGAGTCAATCCATATACCATCTTAACTCCAGCCCTTTCTGGGACACAAGGCCTTGACCATGTAAAACTCACCAGTTCTCGTTGTTGATCTGGTCCCCAAATCCTGGGGTGTCGATCACTGTCAGCTTCATTTTGACACCACCTTCTTCAATGACTGGAGAAGAAATTGCAAACAATCATACGCCTCCCTGGGAACCTGCTCCATCATGAAACATGTCTCTGTACCCTACAAGGGAACAAGAGCACTCTGCCCTCATCCCTGCCCAGCAAGCATGACCAGCCCAAGCTGGATAATGCGTCAATAGTTGTGACCCCCACTTGCATTTCTGACCCCAAATTTTGGTAACCTCTGCACCAAAGCCACCTTATACTACTCTGCCACAGGAAAATGGATTTGTGCTCAGTCTGTGGCCCAGAGGTAGTACTTACCTTGTACAAATTGTCCTCCCCTCCAACGCATCATCCTGAATCTGAGATGACGCTCATTACTCTGCACTGCTGTAGAAGCTGTGCTGATGCTTTGCCACAAGATGTGCTCTACCATGCTTTGGATGGGACCAACCAATGCAATTTGTATAGATCACTAAGCATCTGTAGGTGGGAATGACTTACAGCAAGGCTTAATCCACACATGCAGACTCATGTCTTGGCAGAAGAAATATCTATAACTCTTTTTCTACCCCTCACTTTTGGCTGTGGCATCAGTGGCATTGCTGTTTAAGAAAAGCCTTTGGCTGGGTCTGAGGCCGTCTAAAACTGGCACTTGTCCTTTAGCTTCCCATGGAGAAAGGGCTGCCTAACAGCAAAGAACTGTTTGCATAGACTACTGGGGTCTTCTGCAAGACTGTGCTGAAGCATCAGTATTGCCTCCACTCCAGCAGCCTGGCCCTTACCATGTCCGATGGCTTTGATCTCCACTGTCTTGGGGATCTTCTCCTCCCGGTTCCAGCCCGAAGATTTACGGCTCACCTGGGATTTGAAGAGGGTGTTCACCAATGTCGACTTTCCCAGTCCACTCTGACCTGAGGATTGTAAAGAGGAAGCTTGTGTCGTCTGCCACAGCCCGGTGATGACAGCAGGCTCAGGGGATGGAGCCAGGCTGGCAGGGGAAGGGGCTGTAGGTGTCTCCTTGCCTTGCGCAGGCTCTCCTTTCCCCCAGAGCAAGCACTGTCTGCTCCCTCATGCCCTCCCTGCAGGGCTCGCTCTCCCACCTGGCCTCATAGGATAGTCCCTGGCCATGGTTCCCAGTACCTCAGCTGGTCCTTGCCTACCTACAACCATGATGTTGAAGTCGAAACCTGTCTTCATGGTTTTCTTGCGCATCTGCTCAATGATGGTGTCAATACCGATGTAGCCCAGCAAGTTGGCGTTAATGCCCATGGGTTTCATCGGTACGACTGGTTTTTGTCGCGGCTCTGGGACCAGCTCAGACATGGCTGCTTCGTTTTTGCTCTCCACTGGCCCTGCATGGGGAGAAAGATTGAAAAATCATCATTGAGGTGTAACGAGGACCTCCCTGCTGACCTGTCACAGGGGCTGAGGGCAACTTTGAGCATCCATTTCAAGGGCTACTGAGGATGACTGAACGGCAAGATTTTAGCAGTAAGGCTCTTCATGGAGGAACACCTACTTGAGTTTCCAGAACACCCTTCTATGTATCACTCCAGATGAGGAGGTGGAGAAGTGGGGCTTGTTGAGCATGCAACGTATTGATGGCTACCTCCAAACAGCAGGAGCAGACACAGTGAAGCTGGCTGGGCTCTTATTTGGGTGCCCAAAGCTCTGTGTGTGTCTCCTCATTTTTGTCTCCCAGTTCTCACCAGGATCACCAGTGTTTTGCCCCTCCGAGCTTAGCATGAAATTTGCGATGGAACAGACTTTCAAAAATTATCATGTGTCAAGTCCCAGCATTGAAACAGAGTTTGGGATTTACCGTGAGGACTTGCAAGCTTGGCCCTTGCCAGGGGCAGCTGCATTACTGGCTGTGATGTGCAGGCCCAGTTCCTCAGAGGAAGGCAGTGGTGGAAGTGCAAAGCATGGCCACAACCTCCGCACTTGCTTCCCACCCGCAGATTGATAGCTTTTGTCATGCTCAAGAAATTAATCATTGTGATCAATAAACTAATCATCTGCACCTTTCCCTCCTCACCTCCCCCTCCTCGCTTCTTCCATGTAAAACAAAGGGGCAAAAAGAAAGGCCCTGCGGGCTTTCTGGCCTCCCCAACTCTTTTTCGGGTGATGGCACACACTGCTTGGGGCAGGCCTCCTCCATTTATCTCCGTCTCTTGTCTCATTAGTGAGTAGCTCCCACCCGCTGGGAGGAAGCTGGAAGTTGGGAGAGGAGAGGGCACGGAAGAAAAGCTGTAATTGGTAGGAAAGGGAGGTGTGAGGGATGAATCTAGAAAGGAAGACGAAGGGGATGGGAATCAAATACCTTTCATACACAAACCAGCTGCAAACTAGAGCCTCTCCCACTCTAATTACTTGACTCCCCCATGCTTTGTCTCATTAGATGGTTATTTTTCCCGGACAGGGACAGCATGTGTTTTTGCTTGGTAAGCACTCTGCTTATTTTGGATGCCACTTCAGTTAAAGTATCTCACACTAAATTATCCCTTTCCATCATTTCAGTGGAGTTTTTCGCTCCTCTCAGCAGAACCCGCTGGCTGCAGAGGAGCACATGAGCGGCAGGGCAGGCGACTGCCATTTGGTGGGTGACACATGCCTCTTGGAGAGGAAGATGACTCAGGGGCCACTGGGCTGGGGACACTGACAGCACCAGTCCAGGGTCCCCGTGACAGCTCAGCCAGGTCAGGCAGAGGCAGGGACTGGGGGGAGGTCAGAGATGTTTTGTTCAAGGACAAGGTTAGGCTGCAACAGGCTGCATGGCTGGCTGGCGATCCTGCCTAGCATTCCCACATCAAAGTTCCTGTGCAGACACAAAGGGCTGCTCAACACAAGGAAAAATTTACATTTTATATATAAGCTTTAGTATCCCACTATCATATACTGGGGGTAGACCTTGCAGGAGGGCCACCCTTGGCAAGGAGAAGGGTGCCTCCACTCAGCTCCTTTTACACCGCTTGGGAAGTCTTTTATGTTAAACTGGGAGAAGGGATCTTCCCTCTGTGTGAGAGGACAGCCACACAGCCACCTGTGCACAGCACCGTGGGTAACGTCTGAAGGGTCTCGTACCACCTTCGTTCCACCTTGCCGGCAGGGGAGAGGTCTGCCAGAGGATGCCCCCCCCACCTCCTCTTCCCCACCGAGCGGGGGCATTCTGAGCTATCATCATCCTCTCCTGAAGCAGCGAGCAGCACCCTGGGGGGACCAGAGCAGAAGACGGACTGTTGGCTTGAGCCAGGCTGGCAATCTGGAGCACCGCATGCTGCCGGACAGCTGCCGGAGGAGGCAGCCTGCCGAGCCGAGCACTTCTCGGCTGCAATCCGCTCTTACACCCGTCACAGCTAGTCTGTGCCTTTCCTACTGACAAAGCATCCCCTGAAGCTCCTGTTGTCTTTTTCCAGCTTTCTCAAAGCTGCTGCCAGCCAGGAAAGCCCATCTTTGGCACAGCACGGAGGGCCAAGCCAGCCAGCTCTCCTGCACCCTGCCCTTTGCTCATCCTCTCCCAGGCTGGCCCACGCCACTTGTACCGTAGTCGCGTGGCTGTGCCTTGCCCCTCATCCTGCTGCAGCATCCTCCAGTGCACAGCCCACACAGCCCTGCTGGGGTCCCACCTACCCGAGAGAGGGAGAAGAGGGATACAGGGGATGATGAGAGGACGTGGGGCAGGGGGCTGTGGCCCCAGTGAGGCACTTGGCTACTGTAGTAATGGGAGCGAATAAACCCCGGAGGTGGATAGGGAACAGGTTGAGGTGGGAAGAAAGCCCAGATGAGCAGCTGCATGGGATGGGTGCAGGACCTGGGCCATGCGGGCTGCGATCCCTTTGCTGCCCGGGCAGTAGCTTGTCCTCAGGTAGTCTGTGGCCCTCCGCTTTATTCCTTCAACTCCTTGTTCTTACACAGGGAGGAGGAAGGAGGGAAGTTGCTGGCAGCCAACCTCAAGGTTCACTAAGATGTTTATAACTCATCCCTCAGTCTCACCGAGGGATGCTTTGTCCAGAGCTGGCAAATGTTGCTAACTCTGCTGTGGACATCATAATACGTGGCCATCTCTTTGCAGACTTTGCTGCTGGAGCCAGGAGCTTGCAGTGGCTGGAGCAGATATTTCAGAGTCAGGCTCCTGAGCACCTATAAAAAGCCCTGAGACCAGGAGAATAGATCTCCAGAAGTCTCCTTAAACATTTCCTGGATTTTATATCAGTGATGTTGCCCTGGGCGTTTTGATTTTGGATATTCAAGGTCTCGGGGTAGACAACCTCCCTTTCTCCTCTCGGTCACTTGCCTTCCTCTCTGTGTGGGGTGCCTTCCCATACAGCCTCAGGAAGGGAAGCCCCCATTTTGCAAAGAGGTACCCAAGGGCTCAGCTTTCTGCACATGATTTTCCACCTCTTGACTCCCACCGAGAAATCCAAGGAGCCAACTGAGGAACAGCCTGCTGGGGAGGTCAGGGTGTACAAAACCGGGACCAGGGCTATGAGAGGCACCTTGAGGCATGAAACGTGTCTACTTGGTCTCCTGGGAATGGCTCTGTTTCACATGCAGTAATGCTAATGCTGCTATGAAGCCTCATTAGCGCTCTGACTGACTGGTCAAGGGGTAGCATTATGCATCCTAGACACATCCTGTAGCCCCTCCAGCTGTCCCCTGTAATGAATACATGATAGGGCACTATGGCCAGTACAGCTGATAATGAATAGAGGGTTAGCCAAGGTTAACCACTTACATCCGCTGTTTGCATTGCCACCCTTTTCCCTGCTGCTTTGTTCTGTGTGCTAAGCGAAGCTCACTTAAGAGGGCAGTTGCTGGTGATACCTCTGCTGCCCGGTTGCCGGTGGGAGGCGGCCCGGGCTGGGCTGCTGGGGGATAATCTCTGGCTCACAGGAGATGCTTCACTCAGCTCCAGAGCAGGGAGAGGTGCAGCATCTGGGGCCGGGGCAGGCAGGGCCAGAAGGGCAACGGGTGTCCGGAGAGATCCCAGCGGTCCCAGCTAGCTCCTGCTTCTGACACCCACCAATCCACCCCAAAACCTCTCCCTGGAAGGCTGGTGCACGTGGCCAGCAGCAGACACCACTACCACAGCGCACCCTTCATCTTTGCCTGTATCTGATGTTTCCAGCAGCTAGCTGGGGACAGAGGTGGCCCTGCAGGTCCCTTAGGGGCTCAGGTAGTGGGGACTAACATCTACTCTGCCCCGATAACCCAGATACAGTCACATCCCCTCCCCCTGCCTTCCCGTCCTTTGTCTGAGTGGCAAGAGGGAGGGAGGGCTGCAAACAGACGCTCGCCACAACCCAGCTTCCAGCAAGGAAAGGCTGTTTAACCCCCATGTAACACATGAATGGCTTCGCTGCAGCTCTCCTCCTGTGCGGCACGAGGCTGTCCCGCTCCGGCTGGAGGCAGCGATCCAAACACGCATCTCACCCCAGCCCTTTCCACCCGTGTGGCCCCAGACCCACGGGCCCACTTCCTGCAGACATGGAACAGAGAGGAGGGACGGGTTCAGAGGCTGAAGGCGGCTGGCAGGAGTGGGCCTTTGGCGGGTGACGCCAGGTCCCTAGGAAGGAAAGCAAGCAGCCGCTTCAGTAGCACAGCCTCCCTGGGGCTTGCAGGCATTAGGATCTGCTCCTTGCTTCAGATCTGCAGAGATGCTGGACTGAGAATCTCTCCACTGGAAAAATCCCTTTCCCCCCTCAGTTTCTGTGATGACCCCAGGGCATTTCTCCCAGCTGTGCAGGGCAAAGGGCGAGCCCTGCCAGATGCACTGCCTGACTTCAGGGTGCAGAACAGAGCCATTCTTCTCACCAGATCTTTTTGCCTGGCCTGAGGATCACCGGGCATTTCGCGTGAGGCAGGGAAACTCACCCCAGCCCTTTGGGCTGCCGCAGCCTTCCCGGCAGCAACCTTTCTTCCCCTCAGTGCTCTGCAGAGGGCTTGGGCAGGAGCCTGGCTCTGCCGGGGCCGCAGTGAAATCTAGGGCAGTGTGTGCCGAAGCCTCTCTGGAGATGCAGGAGCTGGAGGTGAAGGGGCTGGGCACGTCCCCAGTCCAGCTACCGCAGGGTTAGATGCTCGCCTCAGCCCTGGCCGTACCCTTGGTGCCGCTCCCCAACCGTGCAGTCCTTACCCCGTAGCCCGGCTCGCCGTCTGGGTGGCCCGGCTGGATCACAAGGCAAGAGGGTGCTGAGCACCCCTGGACCAGGGTACCCATGCCACCTCAGCTGCCTGTCCCCCTGCCCGCCTGCCGGTGCCGGGGCTCCCTGCCCACCCGCCCGCTCCCGCCCCGATGGCCCGGGAGCAGCACAGGCCGG